TCCGTTACTGCGGTCGATCAATACCTGTCCGTATCCAAACACACGAACATTCTTCGTGGCACGTTTTCGCGAACGTTGCTACCCACCCGGTGTTTACTTTTCACCCCCCATGTGGACGGAAGATAATGAAGCCTGTGAAAGTGCACGTTATCACCCGTTAACATGTCTATCGCATGCCATCTAAGTCATGCTAACATGGGATGGTGGGTTATTACCGCATGCTATGAGATGCACGTGTTCACAATCATCATTCGCACGAAGGTCGTCAGCAAGCAAGCTGCGACACTATTTGCTTGATACCGTACAAGGAATGGATACCGTCCGGGAGAGACAACGAAGACAGGTAAGCGCAACCCCCCTACATCACACTGATTCCCAGCCCCGAGGAACCGGTCTACGCACGAACTGTACTCAGCTACGAAGGTCCGCGCACATACCGTAGTCAGCTACGAAGGTGAGAGATGTATGAGCGTTTTGTATGAGCGTCTTTTCAGCTGTTTTAACAAGGTGTCCATCGACCACGCCAGGCGCAATTCTCACCAATTCTTCATTAAAAAAACTTCTCAACACATACTCCACACTTACAGCATGAGCACAAAAAATATAGATTGGCCCCATCCCCCTGCTTGTCCGGAGGATCCAGGCCGGACCTTCGCCGGCCAGACAAGCATCCCCGTTTGACACCCCTGTTCTAGGGTGGGTGTAGGGGGGGTGATGGAATCGCACTACTGTACATGTTGCCCTCCACTTTGGGTGTTTACACCCACCCACAAAGAACATCTACACACACATGTTGTAACAGCAGTGACGTCCGTCAAAAACCAAGGAAGGGGCTTTCTTGTGAGGATCCACCGGGCGCGTTCGTGCTTGCTCTGACAAACACCATTGGTGACAGCGCTGCAGCCCCGAGAAGAGCAGAGCTGCACAAGCTCCACGCAAGGCCGCTAGTGTCGGCAAGGCTGACTGCTAGCGCGGCCATGGAACACAAAACCGTGGCTGCGAAGGCCAAAACCGCGTACTTGACGAGTGAACGCGGGCAGCTTGGGTTCCAGTCCTTGCTGAGAATTTTCGTGGGGAAGCTACTGGTGTTCATGCCACCACCATGGTACCAATCGTACGAAACACAGGCCGGTTGGAACTGGCGTTGCGCCGACGAGGCTTCCCATCGGGCTAAGAGCTCGTCCAGTAGCAAACGATTGGCCCTTCCCGTCACCTGCCACCAGGGGCGTTAGTTTCAAATATTGAGGCCGTCATGATGAAGTCCGGAATGGAAGTGCGATTACTCCCCTCTGTGGAGGGACATGGGCCCCACCTGGACTCGTGAGGATAGGCATTGTGGCGTGAGGATACGGCAAGGGGTACGGTCGGGAAGAGAGATAAGTACGAACAATGTTTCCACCTGTATCCTGTGACCTGAAACCTACACTACTTCCTCATGTATTCGGGTCTACCTGCTGGACCTTTAGTGCGGCGATGTCGCGTACCATCAAGCGTTGCAACTTGAGCCTAACCATAGTCATCGAGAAGATCGCGAACACGCCACAGCTGGCTCCGAATACCAGTAGAGCCAAGAACGCGTCGAGCCTCATCTCCGAAGTAAACGTGCTGGGGTCGAACGACCACATGTTTTCCAGCATCAGGACGACGAACAGGCCGATCAAAACGAGAAAGCCGTCCTGCGCGTTGATCCTCGTCTCGATCGCCTCGCGCTGCCAAAGGTTGGCATTTAAGAACTCCGGGTGTTGGTCTTTAAACCTGTCTTCCCATGATGCTCTCGCCGCCTGCTGCAGGTCTGCCACCTGGTGCGTGTGGCATCCATGTAGGAGGTAGGTTGCGTTTGGGTCTACTGGAGTTGTTCGTGAGATCAGTCAACTCCGATCCAGTGATGCCCTCTTGTTGTTGGAGAGCGAAACAATTTTCCTAGTGGCCTTGCGATTTATTGTCGACCAAAACCAATCGGCGGGCACCGCGGACACTCATGTCTTCTGTTTGTTTTCGCGGGAACGGGAACTGACCTTAGACCACAAGTAAATGCACGATGTGGGCGAAGCTGTGCTGGCACAGGCATACAGACAGCGCCCCCATTTCAGAACTTGACCGTTAAGAACTTCATGCTCGGTATTGTATCGAACATGAGATCTTGAGTACCGTTTTGGGTGCCCGGTTTAGAACCCCGACACAGTTAGCGCCAGCACATAAGAACTTGGTGCACCCTCAGGTGCTAGGTTAAATCTGCCCAGAACAAAAAAAACGGTGTCTTTGGCATGGGGCCCTCGGCGAAAAAATAATAAAAACCTGGTCGAAATAAGAACATTAACATAAGAACAGGTGCTCGTTGAGCAACAACAAGCATCTAGCCGGTCTTAAGCGCGGGTGTTGATCGCTGTGTACGAAGTACTTCATCTACATCGGCCATTTGTAGCCCATAAGAGGGAACGACCTAGGCCGGCACTAGAGGTACAGTAGGTTCTTAAGTGCGGGCGATATCTCTAGTAACCATGAGGCACGAAGTCTGGTGTAAGAGGTTGAAGAAGAGCTACAGACATAAATTGTGTTCAGTCGGGTACAACCACAAGCGCGGCTGAAAGTTTGAGTGATAACTGCTGTAACTGGAGGAATTATTCTCAGTATCTTACGAGATCTTGGATGCGAGTTTGAAATATATTTGTGTCTTCTTGTGTTCGAGGCCTTATTTCTTACTATCTGGTATCCTCGTAACCTTCTAGCGACCAGGGTTGGTTACGGGTTCGAATCCCGGCGTAAGTGAGCTTTTCTTGCAATGTTGGTCTTCTTCTTCCTTTCCTGGTTGTGGAACGCTACAGAACGTAAACGTCAATAATCGGGATCGAGTTTCTTATTGCGTCGCCACTGCTACTGCTGAAGACAATTGTTTTGCCAGTAGAGTTTAGTGTAGAACCCACCGGTGAGCTATGCTTCGTCGACCTGTTTTCTTATCTGTCGTAACATTTGGGTCTCCTGCTGTAGTCTACTGTGTGTTGTAGTTCGTGTGTACACTTGAGGGAAGAAAATGCCCCACTCATCTCGCGTTATAAACCGAAGGCAAGCACCGCAGGAGGGTGGGTAGTACGTTTCAGGGGAATCAACCCTTCTGTGTGACCACGGATTGGAGCTCCTACTGCTTGCTGTACGCGGCAGAAAATACATGCTGTGAGCGCTGACAAACCGTACTGTAGGATGCGTAAGATATCACACACCCTGCGCCGATTTTCAAAGCTCGATTTCTCGGTAGGAAAAACAGTAATGGTGCCCGACAATGGCGGCATTGGAACCGTCTCGTCGAGATCTTTGCGAACACGCATCATGTGAACTCAGCACGCTCTTCGCCTAGTGGCAATCGAGCTTTGAAAATCGGTCCTGGGGGTGTGGTATCCCATGCAACACACATGTATGGTCCGTTCGGGCAAATATTCACAATCTTGTTTTTCGCGATATCTTTCGAAAAAAAACGATTTGGAAAGTGAAACAACTTTGGGCGTGACCGCGGCGTCGAGCTTCGTCGATATCCGATGAGCTCTTGGTGATTGGGTGAAATGAGACATTTTTGACCAAAATGACCCACGGAGCCCCCACCCCCTCATGACCCCACGGAGCCCCCAAAGTACACCACGACCCCCCCTCAACCCCTTCTACACGTATATGCCTTCAGAACATCAGTTAAACCGTTGTCAATCCATATTTACATTATTTACACGTTACATATGTACAT